GTAGGAACAATTAGCGTTTGATCGGCAAGAGACATCATCGACTTGCCTATCTTCAGGACTGCTCGAACCAACTGCAATTGGTAAAACGCATTGAGACATCGTGCATCAAAGTGTCAATAAAAGGTTCGTACCTGGGTGGCAAGTAGATATTGTTGTCGCTTTGAAATCAGAGGGTCATAAACGAACTGCTTCTTCATGTCTAGAATTCCAAACTTGATTCAAGCGTTTCAAGTATGCAACGTGGTATCACGCACCATTCTCTCCCCTTCCAGAACAGTCGATTCCAAGTCTGGAATTCTTCTCTGTGACTTGTCGACTCTTGACTTCTGTCAATGTCTCTATTGGCGAGAGACCGCTGTTCTCAGCAAGTGCAAGGGGGATCGCGTCGAGAGCAGCTGCAAAAGAACGCATCGCATATTGTTCAATGGATGGAATTTCATCGGCAGCTTTCGAGACGGCGATGGAACAACTGATATCAGCAGCACCACCCCCGTAGACCACGCGGTTGTCCACGACAAGATTGCGGACCGCGCAGATAGCATCGTGTAGGGCACGTTTTGCCTCATCGACGATCTATGTGCCTTAACGTCAGATTATGTGTGCAGTGAGGGTGAATAGAAGGCAGACCATTTTATTGCTCCCGCGCACAAAGATTGTGACCGCACGGGAGTTGGCACACTCTTCAATAACGAGCATCTTATCACGGGTCGTGCCGAATGTGACCTCCCGCACGATACCTGCCTTCCCAAGTTTTTGTGCTGTAAGATCCTCGAATCGGGGGACGATTCGACCTTGTGTAGCTATGGCAATCAGCTAAGAACAGAACATCAGTAATGCTTTCACGGTAGGGAGAACTTGTGAAATTCACCTCAATTTCTGGCCCACCAACCCATCGAACTGCAGGCAGCTCGTTCTGCATCAATAAATGATTTGCTTCATCATCAAAACCCCACTGGCAAATGACCAAGTTTGCTCCAGTGTCCTTCACCATCTTGATCATGTCCTCGAACTTCTCCTTTTCATAATCCCGGAGGTGCTTGAACTCCTCTACGGACGTGATTTCGAGCTTATGCTTAGTCTTGGGCCGTGGAGGCTCAAAGGGACAGGTGAGAATTGCGAGGCGAGCATCGCGCACGTAAGAGGGCATTTGTGAGTGGGACATATCCTTGTCGATGAGAACGCCCTTGATCAACGTCGTGTCCGCAAGGGAGCCACCAACTTTGCCATCAACCTTGATGAGGTCAAAGGGAACATCACGACGTTCAAGGTCTGCAACTGTTAGAACAGCATCGACCGCGATCTGTGCGAACTGCTGCAACTCCTTCGACACGCTGGGCCAAATTTAAGTATATTCAAGGAAGGAAAGAAAGAAAGGACTGGCCCACATTTTGCTGCCTAGACTGGTCATCGCGGTCTTCAGAAGATTTTCTTTGTTTTCAGGTGAGAACTCGACGCGATCTGAGATAGTGTCGAGTTTCTCGCAGGCAACAGTACAGGCCCGGTCAAAACCATCTGCTATACGGATGGGATGAATACCACGGTCCAGCAGATCCTCGCTCTTCTCCAAAAGTGCACCAGCCAGTACTTCAGATGTATTTCAATATCAAGAAAGAGATGGGTAGTTGAAATCGTACCGACAACACCAGTGGTCCCGTCTCCGATCTCATCGTCTTGGCTTTTGGACAGCTGCACAAGGAGCTTTGCAACTTGATGCTCGACCTCCATCTGTCCCAAAATAGTTGCACCATCATTCGTCACAGTGATCTCGCCGTCAGGTGATATGAGGATTTTATCCAAGCCTGCGTGATTGATCAATCAAACTCCTGTAATGCAGCGGCTAAATAGAACTCACCTCGAGGTCCTAGAGAAGTCCGGATTATGTTTGCCACTGTCCGTGCCGCAAGAATGTGCGACTTGAATATATTTCGTGAACTCAGGACTGTTGATCGAGAAGAAAATCGCCCACTTTGATTGCCTCTACACCATGAGTTCTTGTTTTTCTTCCCTGGTCCCTGAGGATGATAAACGGTCGGCCATACTGGAATAATTGAGCACCAAGTATGGGATGATTTGGCTCATGCGATTCACCTCGTCAGTTGCATATACAGCTTCTTGTTGAGCCATGATTTTGTTGCTGAACGCGTCGCGTTTGGAAGCTAAACGTGACACGATTATTGCGTGACAATAACCCTGATAGTGAGTGCGTGATACCGTGACATGGAGTTTAGAGGAAGTTACTAAGGACGCCCTTCGTACTCTTCTTCTGTCATAAAACTTCCAGCACAATCCAAACCTATCATGGAGCACGAGATCGATGCCTGGATTGAACAACTCAGTCAGTGTAAACAACTAACAGAAGCAGACGTAAAGAAATTATGCGACAAGGTTCGTTGACCCCCGATAAAGACGCCACCTGCACTCGATCTGACTGCAGGCATAATAGACGAGAGAGATCCTTATGGAGGAGTCAAACGTACAGCCCGTACGATGCCCAGTAACTGTGTGCGGGGATATCCATGGTCAATTTGTGCGTTCCTGTTTATTCTTGTAATCTGGACCGCTGATCTTGTCTTGTGCGCGTATCTTGCTCCTCGTACTTGGTTGTCTCGACGTGCAGCATGATCTTTCTGAGCTATTTCGTATTGGCGGAAACTCACCAGATACCAACTACCTCTTCATGGGCGATTACGTGGATCGAGGGTACTACTCTGTCGAAACAGTAACTTTACTTGTGGCACTCAAGTTACGGTATCGCGACCGCGTTACAATTCTACGGGGAAACCACGAGTCTCGACAAATCACGCAGGTGTACGGCTTCTATGACGAGTGCTTGCGGAAATATGGAAACGCTAATGTGTGGCGATTCTTCACCGATTTGTTTGACTACCTTCCCCTCACTGCCCTCATCGATAACCAAGTGAGTCTCTTATCCTCATACAAACACGCCGCGCAAATCACCTTACTTCCATTCCCAATGGCTAACCTTCTGACTTTAAGATATTCTGCCTGCACGGCGGTCTCTCACCTTCTATCGACACATTAGATCATGTCCGCTCCATCGACCGTGTGCAAGAAGTTCCTCACGAAGGTCCCATGTGCGACCTTCTGTGGTCTGACCCAGACGACCGGTGTGGTTGGGGCATTTCACCCCGTGGGGCGGGGTACACCTTTGGGCAGGATATTCCGAGGCTTTCAACCATAATAATGGATTGACCCTTGTCGCTCGAGCACATCAGCTCGTCATGGAGGGTATGCGCACATTCAATACAACGTTAGCTTGTGTGCTCACGCGTGATTGATGTTCAGGTTATAGTTGGGGTCAAGATCGGAATGTCGTGACGATCTTTAGCGCACCGAATTACTGTTACAGATGCGGTAACCAGGCGGCGATCATGGAGATAGATGAAAAATTATCATACAGCTTGTGAGTGTTTTTCCTACTTGGTTTGTCTACTATTCATCTCGAATGGTATCCGCAGCCTGCAATTTGACCCAGCCCCCCGAGCGGGAGAACCGCTGGTTTCACGGCGTGTTCCGGATTATTTCCTGGTACGTCATTGACTCCCATAAATGCGGAATGTCGTATGTCTAACCTTCCCCACTAGTGATGTTTGCTGCCTGTCGATATTGTACATAGTGCCTGCGTCGTGTATTCTACCTTGGGACTGCGTTGGCTTCAACAACGAACATTATATACCACGTTACACGACAGAGTAATCAGTACTCATCCTTCAACGTCATTAATTCGACGTTCTTCAAGATTATTTTCCACAAGATGCTCATTGCTCGCTATATTGCCTCATATATGGACTGTGTATTGTAAGAGGACAAAAAAAATAGAAATTTGTGATCGAGTCGAGTATGTGTGGCGTTAGCCCAACGTTAGCCAGTAGCCAGAGCGCAACGCGGCATACCGGAGTCCGGCATCCGACATCCAGGTCGAGTTTCTCTTGATAACAATCATCCACTATGCTCATGGTACTCGAGTAGCTCACTCTAAAAAATCGTTGCCGAGTATTCTGCACCAGAAATCATGACTGGCCGCTATCTTCATCAGGATACTACCCCGTCGTTCGGGCCATCAGTAAACCGGTGAGTTCTTGCTGGGGATTATGCTGATTATGGTGCTTTTACATGGTCATATATTGCTTTATATCACTTTATATTACAATGTGACGAAAACCTTTCCTATATATTACGATATATTACGATATATGATGATATCTTCTTCTCACAGGTTCTCTGATGGCCACTCCTGCCAGTGCACTAGTTGATTTGCTCATCATCTATTTTTTTAGCAGAGATTTAAACTTTCTGATGTCTGGCGTCGCGTACCGGATAAGGATGGAAGGACCGGGAATCCTCGTAGCGGACTTGTAAGTTGAAAGCTTCATCTAGGACATTGTTTGATCTACAAATGAACAAGACTCGGCGCAGCTTTATTTCTCTGCACTTTATAGCATACAGCCCAAAGGGCTACTTCAAGGGTACGGAACTGGAAGGTGCAGAAGTGCCGGATGGAGCGCTCTATCTCAAGGCCGCGAGATCGCCCAAGTATATCATGATGATGAACAAGGGTATGAGACCAGATTTGACGGTCTTCTTTCTGTGGAACATAGCGCGAGCGCCGGACTCCATTGTACTTTGGATCTCAGAATATAAATTCCAACATCAAAATTCTTAGAAGAACTTCTAATTAGGAACTCAGAGTAAGCATCATGATGGATTGCGGCTAAAATGTATGTGGTAGATAGCGGAGTTCCTTTCACCACACAAGAACATGAAGTACTTGACGCGCTGCAATCGATCTTGACTTGACAGAGCACTAGAGACTCGAGTATAGAATTTACTGTAGATGTAGTAAGTTTAAGGCATGGGAACTTGACTGAGATGATAGATCGACTCAGAATATCAAATAAGTCAGGGTCACGTGCGCGTTTTGATGGGAACGCGTCCTTGGAATCGAAATTCTGAATTGTACGGTTTACAACGGCCACATCAATCCATATCTGACACATCAGATTGATCGATGGTCCACAACATTTTGCGCCACATTGGTTGACCACATATAAGGCAAGTAGGACTTTTTTGTGGCTCTTAGTTTTATTCCCCTCACCAGTTTTGCTTACAACGCTCAGTCAGTGTAATCGTTGAACGTCTAGTGTCATGCCCCCTGCCGGCGAGATTGAGTCTACTCCTCCACGCGCCAATGCATCAGCTCCAGGTGCTGGTAAAATAGAATCCACCCCAAACAGCCGCGGGGCCTCCGTCATCAGCGAGAACATCGGCGTGCTTGGTGTCAAGTGCGCACATTTCCTGTCTTCATTGAGTAGAGCCTGACATTCCATCGAGGGTTAGGAAGGTCGGCCCATGGATTCAACGGGATATAGAGCAGGTCAAGGAGTGCAAGGCAGATGCCATGCTGCAAGCCCTCCTTCAGCGCGCTTCTTCTGCTCCCAAGACTAAACAGCCCGAGCTTCTGCAAAAGTGTCTCAAGGCGGTTCTGCCTGTTTGCAATGGACAGTTTTCTACTGCTCTCGTAAAGTCTTCTGACATCCAGACAGCCCTCAACGAATAGTGAGTGATTTTTCTCAGTGCGCTGATTGGACGTTTTCAAACTCACAACCATCACAAGCGTATGTCCAGGGGTAGAGAACCACTTCTACAGCCCTTTCATAAGAGCCACTAACATTGCCCTCGCTTGTCTTGAAGAGATCGAGGTTGATGGGATGCGTGCTCCTGTCCCTGCCGTGGACATGATCTGCCAGCAGAACGATATGCCCATGCACCAGATGCACCAGACCAGGAAATCGATTCGGAAGCCCGACCTCGTGATTCTTCCATTGAATAGCGCATGCGTTCCCTTCCAGGATAAGAAGGGCAGCAAGAAGGGTAAACAGAGTGGTAGACAGAAGAGTAAACAGAAGGACAGGCAGAAGAACGACGAAAAGGACGACGAGAAAAACGACGAGAAGGACGACGGAAAGAACAACGAGAATGATGACGGGCAGCGACAGACGAGGCGCAAGGCTCATATGGACACGAGTGCAACGGCAAAGCCGCAAAATCTCCCTTGGAAAGATGTTCTAGCTTGCATCGAGTTCAAGAGAAAGACGGCGGGGAGGACGAAAGGGATCAAGGAACCCCCCTCTTCGTACACATTGACAGACTATGTCCCTACCAAGCCAGAATATCTGCCGATCGATCATCTTAGGACTGCAGACCCAGCTCCAGCCCCTCCTCAGACCCCAGCAACACAAACTGCATCCGACACTGCATGTAAGTGATGATATGTGCGATTCTAGGATCGAACTAAATTGGCCAAGCCGCAGCTCAATCTCCTGGCCTTACTGCCGCCCAGCCTTCGCGGGGCGGGTCCAGCTCCAAACGCAAGGCCACAGACACTTTGGAATCTGCTGCGAAAAAATCCAAGGGGAACCACGACGACAAAGACGCTGACGCTGACGCGGACGCGGATCTAGATGTGACCGTTCAGACGGGTCTGTACGCCGCCGAAATGTTCGCAGCGAATCTTGCAGTCAACTATCTGCTCAATATTATTGTCGTCGGTGAGTTCGTTCGTCTGTCGAGATTGGCTGCGCTCTTATTAAAGCTTTTTCAGATGATGTCGCGTGGATATGGTATTATGATCGACAAGGGATCATTCAATGCTCAGGCATCAACTTCATTCAAGATCTCCCGCGATTTATGGTGCTGTTGTATGCTTTACAACGCTTCGATCTTCACGATTGGGGCCGAAACAAAGACTTCCTCCCAATTGAAGTTGAGGGGAAATCATGCCACGAATTCAGAATAAATGATGAAAAACTTGGAGAGGTGGATTTGCTGCTTCACACCAGCCACGACGAAAGAGTGACGCACTACGGACTGCAAGGACGGGCGACCAATGTGGTCCCTGTCACCAGCGAAGCGCTCACGAAGAAATACGGCAAGTTCGAGGATGGGATGGTGGCCAAGATCTTTTGGGGAGAGGCGAGTCGCACTAGCGAGCCGGAGATTCTGAAAAAGGTTGAGGAGATCGCTAAGAGGCACGCAACTGTCCAAGGCCACGTTCCTGAGCTGCTTTGGCACCACACGTTCACGAATCCCACGTCCGCAATTCGAGAAGCGCTTGATGTTCCGGAACCTACTACGGGCAGTCGCGTGCTCTATATTCTTGTGTTCCGCAAGCTCTTCCCCATCACTCGGCTTCACGGCAAAGAGCTTTTTGACGTATGGCGTCAATGCATTCTATGTACGTGTTTCATTGAATTTACGTGGCTTTCATTGACATGGCGTGCAGGCCACGTTACCCTTTGGAAGGAAGGGGTCTATCATCGAGATGTCAGCCCTGGAAATCTGATGTGGTACTGGAAAGGTGACAAGCGGATAGGCGTTTTGAACGACTACGATCTATCCTCATTGGCGGATGACCCAGGTCCTCGGGGCAACGAACGCACGGGCACAGTCCCGTTCATGGCCCTCGATCTTCTCACCAAAGATGGTCAACAAGGCAAAGTCAAACACGTATATCGCCACGATCTAGAATCGTTTATGTGGGTTTTCACCTGGATTTGCTTGCGTTACAAGAATGGAGTCCCTCTATCACGGGGATTGCGCCCCTTGGATGAATGGGCGACTTTAGGCGCTGTGGCATGTGGCGTGGAGAAGTACCATTTTCAGGGTCATATGACAGCTTCCGCACCCTTTGGATCGGGCATAGACGAAGTCACATGGGATTTCATCGTGGACTGTTTTTTGGTGCTTAAAAGAGATGCCGACGAGCGATACTATCTTTGCCTTAAACGGTCGTCGAGCTCAGGAGAAGGCCAGCAGCCCAACACCCATGACCCAGATCCCGATGCTTTTCTATCTAGATTTACAAATTTAGAGGGTTGGACTAAGCTCGGCAAGCTTGAGTGATTTTTTTTACTTGTACATACCCAATATTCGGTTCTCTGCGTATCGACACTCGTAACTTTCAGCTGTAGATTCACAATACAAGTGGTCGACTGTTCATTTCCCATAGAGTCGTGGGTGAATGCTGGGAGGGAGTCAATATCCCGAACAAGTACGATGTATCTTGCATCTAAATCCTGGCTCTGAGTTGCAACTTGCGATGGAGTGTGACATATAGACGGTGTTTCGACTAAGTTGCGTCACGTCTGTCTTCTTTCTGTGAACCATGGCACGAACTTTGGAATCCCTTCGATCCTGAGAATAAATAGAAGAACTCCTGCAGTGAGGGGCTCGGAGCGACTCGAAGTATCATGATTGATTGAGTGCAGAACGAGTGCAGAACGAAATTTATGTGGTAGACAGATGAGTCCCCTCACCATGAAAAACATGAACTATCTGACGCACTGCTATTTATCTTACTTCTGACGAATTAATGACAAGGTACTAGAGTATAGATGAATCCGAGTCTTACTTACTCACTACAACGATTGCCAGTGATTGAAAATTTGAAATCAAATAAGTCAGGGTCACGTGCGCGTGTTGATGGGAACGCGTCGTCGGAGTCGGTAGGGTCACATCAAATTTTGCACTACACTGGTCGACCAGATATAGGGCCAGCGAGGCTCGATTCATGGTGCCTTTGTATGCTCTCCAACGAATCGATCTTTACAATTGGGGCCGAGACAAAGAATCCCTCCCAGTTCAAGTTCAGGTTCAGGGGAAGCGATGCCACGATTTTGAAAACAAGGATGAAAAATTTGGAGAGGTGGATTTGTTGCTTCACACTAGTCACGATGAAAGAGTGACGCACTACGGACTGCAAGGACGGTCCACCAATGTGGTTCCTATCACCAGCGAATCGCTCACGAAGAAACACAGTATCTTCCAGGATGTGATGGTCAAGATTATCTGGCGAGAGGCGAGTCGCACCAGCGAGCCGGACATCTTGGGCAAGGTTAAAGAGACTGCTGAGGCGCACGATACCGTCAAAGACCATACTCCCCAGCTGCTCTGGCACCACAAGTTCACGAATCCCACGTCCGTCATTCAAGAAGCGCTCGGTGTTCCGGAACCCACTACAGGCAGTCGCGTGCTCTATATTCTTGTATTCCGCAAGCTCCTCCCCATCACTCAGCTTCACGGCAAAGAGCTTTTTGACGTCTGGCGTCAGTGTATTTCATGTACGTGTTTCATTGAATTTACGTGGCTTTCATTGACATGGCGTGCAGGCCACCTCACTCTGTGAAAGGAAGGGGTATACCATCGAGATGTCAGTCCTGGAAACCTGATGTGGTATTGGAGAAACGGCAAGCGGATAGGCGTTTTGAACGACTATGATCTATCCTCATTGGCGGATGACCCAGGTCCTAGGGGCAACGAGCGCACGGGCACGGTACCGTTCATGGCGCTCGATCTTCTCACCAAAGATGATCAGCAAGGCACAGTCAAACACCTATATCGCCACGATCTAGAATCGTTTATGTGGGTTTTCGCCTGGATTTGCTTGCGTTATAGGCAGGGAGTCCTACTACGGAGATTGCGCCCTCTCGACGAGTGGGCGACTTCAGACGCTATTGCATGTTGCAAGGAGAAGTTAGACTTCCTCCACAATCTGACCCCTTTTCCGCCCTTGGACATAGACAAGCTCACATGGGGAGTCCTCGTGAACTGTATGTTGGTGCTTAAAAGGGATGCCGACAACCGATACTATCTTCGCTTTACATCGAGTTCGGGAGAAAGCCAGCAGCCCAATGCCGAGGACTCGGATCTCGATGCTTTTCTATCCAAATTTACCAGCCTAGATCATTGGGTTGAGCTCAGCAAACCTGAGAAATTTTTTATACCCTGCAAACGGTGTTCTGCGCATCGATACTTGTAACTTTCAGTCATGGACTCACGATACAACAACGTTACTCCAGCGTTTGTCCCCACCTAATTATTTCCCCATTTGTGACCTTTACTTGGTTTCGGCCACACATCATTTTTCGACAGAGATCTAAAGTTGCTCATGTCTAGCGTCGCGTGTCAAGGATAGAAGTGGTACGCTATGTACTCCCAGTGTATTTGGAAGTTGAATGGTCTAGCATATGTGTAACATCATGGCGATGGACGGGCCGTCAGTGCTCGCTTTTGAAGAGATGCGTCTGCTTGACTTCAGTGCCTAGAAGCAATGCAGCTATGTCACTTTCCGATGATCGGATCACACATACTGCGCAATAATCTGGAGGATGAGACTATTAAGTGTTTATCGGGCCATAGTGCCAAGGCTTTTGCACAGGCTTACATTACATACCGCATGGGACCCGGGCCCATTTAGGATTTTTTAGATGATCCGGATCCCCTAAAATGCATTAGCGTGATTATATGACAAGCATATAATTCATCCACCCACACGCACATGGCATTCCGCATTCTGGTTTCCCTCTCAAATATGGCTGCAGTTCAACAAATTCATTCAGGGAGCGAGCTCGATGCCTTGTTCCCCTCCCCATCTTCCCCGCCGAACGTGCTTTCCCCTCCGCGGTATCCTGGTGTTTCCCCAGAAGCGGTCGTAGCTTTGGCATATGTCTTGAAGGAAAACTATACAAAGTACCACATTTTCTTCAACCACAAGCGGTTCCATAAGTGCGTAAGCATCTTAACTAATCTATATCTCATGTTACTGATTCGAAATGTCGATGAAGCCACATCACTCATCGCGCACTAGCACTTTTTGTCACAGGCGCGAGTGGATCTCTGATCGAAGAGTTCTACAAACAAGACAGCACCTACCAGCGCCCAGCCGTTGAGTCTCCCGAGGCTGTCACAGAAGAGAACTTTATTGAACATTTAGGTGATGACAAGTGAGTCTATGATTCTTACTTCAACGGCCTGCTCAATAAATTTCTTGCCAGCTTTTACGCCGCGTACAAATCCTTCTTCATCAAGGTTATCGATGAAAGGAGCCTCAGCTCCACGCTAGAGGAATACATCTTCTCTAAGAAGTACAACTTTATAGAGGGACGAGACGCGTCCGCCCAGCCGGTGATGTTGGCGCGCTTCCTTGGAGGTTTGTTCCACGCCTTCATCCATGTAGGATACGGCGCGGAATTAGGCATCCCAGGCATGGTTGTCGAAGGCGAGCAACGTGACACATCGCCGTAGAAAAGTCGCTGACAGACATCTCAAGGTCTTGCATTGGCCAGCGTGCATAGTTATGAGTTCTTGCCGTCGCGTCTTTTCGAGCCCAGCGGCACAACTGGAGTGGAAGAGGCAACAACTTGGCTTGCCGCCCTCGTCCTTAACACAAAGACATCTACTGCGCCCTCTCAACTCGAACAACCGCCAAGGAACCATGCGTTCTCTATTCTTGCCAAGATCATGCAAGATTCGACATTCACACCGAAGGAAATCAAGAAGCATTTTAACAATTTTGATGGCCTGATGTCCGAGCACGGTGATACTTTATGGCACTACGCTGAACAATGGACGATCGATCCGTCGCAGCCAGGCGAAATCGAACGTAAGATGGAAGAATGTATTTGGACAAGCACTATCATCTACACCATTGGCGGATGGAACAAAGACAGAAGCTTCACAGCAGACTTCACATAGTAAGTGGCGTCAAATCTGCTATCTGCAAAAAATACTGATTTTTGTGGTGCTCCAGCATGCATCTCGTCACCTCAAGTCTCTTCCTTCCATCCCTGTTGGCTTACCTGCCACAAAACTCGCAAATTCTTTTGCTTCGTGGATACTTCGCATCGACTCTTGGGTGGTGGATCGCATGCGGTTTCCCTAGACTGGACATTCAAGGCTTCCTGAGCGCCACCTCACGTCCTTCGTCAGAAACCAAGGTCGCTAACCCATTCCTCGATATTGTTCAGTCTGTGATAACGCACCCAAACGAACATATGCCCAAGATTCAGCGCGCTTTTGCGCATTTCTCATCCATTTATGGCGCACGGCCCAAGGGTTACTTCAAGGATACGGAACTGGAGGGTGCAGAAGCTCTAGACGGATCGCTCTTCCTTTTGGCTGCGAGATTGACTGGGGAGTATATGAGCGAAGGTAGGTTCTGGAGCCTAGGGGGGTTTCCTGTGGGGGATTAGGAGTGGACGAGGGATCTGATATGTCTGGGTTACAAACACCGTTGAACCAATGATGACCGTACTTTTCAAACTTGTTGATCATCTGATATCGTCCAAGAGCCAAGGCACAGCGATATATTCATTTACAAGGAAGATCTAAAAGGGGTAACCATTGTGTGCGAGAAGTGTAACTGAGTCATATGCATGAGCATCTGTCTTCTTTCTGAACCTCAGGCTGGAGCGAGCGTCGGACTCCATTCCACCCTAACTTGAAAATATAAATTCCGAAATCAGGATTCTTAGAAGAAATCATATAATGTTTCTAGGCACTAGCATGATAAGCCCGGATCGATATCATAAATAATTCGAGTTGCGTATTACAGAGCACCATTTTTATGGTAAAGTACCATGAGAAACATAAACTGATGGGCCTGGTGCGATGCTATCGACCTTGTTTGTGATGGATTGATGCACTGAGTATGATAGATGGATCCGATTTAGTAGTACTAATACCGTGACTACGGACTCATGTCAGGGTCACGTGAACGTGTTGATGGGAACGCGTCTTCGACCAACCGCCACATCAATCCACATCTGAGATTTAATGATTGATGGTCCACAACATTTGCGCCACACTGGTCGACCAGATATAAGGAAGGCAGTTGTTTCTGTTATCTTCTTAACTCTTCCTCTTCACCAACTCTGCTCGTAACACTCAATCAGCGTAATCGCTGAACACCTAGTATCATGTCCCCTGCCGGCGAAACTGAGTCTACTCCTCCACGCACCAATGCACCAGCTTATGGTGCTAGCAAAATAGAATCAACCCCAAACAGCCGTGGGGCTTCTGTTGTCAGCGAGAACATCGGGGTGCTCGGTGTCAAGTGCGCACATTTCCTGTCTTTATTGAGTAGAACCTGACTTTCCATCAAGAGTCAAGAAGGTCGGCCCATGGATTCAACGGGATATAGAGCAGGTCAAGGAGTGCAAGGCAGATGCCATGCTGCAAGCCCTCCTTCAGCGCGCTTCTTCTGCTCCCGAGACCGAACAGCCCGAGCTTCTGCAAAAGTGTCTCAAGGCGGTTCTGCCTGTTTGCAATGGGCAGGCTTCTACTGCCCTCGTAAAGTCTTCTGACATCGAGACAGCCCTCAACGAATAGTGAGTGATTTTCTCTAAGTTCGTTGATCAAACGTTCTGATGCTCAAAATAATCGCAAGCGTATGTCCAGGAGTGGAGAACAACTTCTACGGCCCTTTTATAAGAGCCACTAACATCGCCCTCGCTTGTCTTGAAGAGATCAAGATTGATGGGATGCGTGCTCCTGTCCCTGCCGTGGACATGATCTGCCAGCAGAACGATATGCCCATGCACCAGATGCACCAGACCAAGAAATCGATTCGGAAGCCCGACCTCGTGATTCTTCCTTTGAATAGCGCATGCGCTCCCTTCCAGGATGAGACGGGCAACAAGAAGGGCAAACAGAGCAACAAACAGAAGGGCGCACAAAAAAACGACGAGAAGGATGACGAACGGCGCAAGAAGAAGCGCAAGGCTCATATGGACACGAATGCAACAGCTAAGCCGAAAAAACTCCCATGGAAAGATGTTCTAGCCTGCATCGAGTTCAAGAGAAAGACAGCTGGGAGGACGAAAGGGATTAAGTCACCATCCCCTACGTATACAGTGACAGACCATGTCCCTACCAAACCAGAGTATCTGCCGGTGGATCATCTTAAGGCTGAAGTACCTGCGTCAGGCCCTTCGCATACCCCAGCAACACAACCTGCGTCTGACACTGCACGTAAGTAATTTCATTTTCGATTTCAAGATCAAACTAAATCGGCCCAGCAGCAGTTCAATCTTCCGGCCTTACTACTGCACAACATTCCAAGGGCAGGTCTAGCTCCAAGCGCAAGGCCGCAGACACATTGGAATCCACCGCGAAAAAATCTAAGATGGATACCGATGAGGATGCTGACGCGGACGCGGATCTAGATGTGACCGTTCAGACGGGTCTGTACGCCGCCGAGATGTTTGCGGCCAATCTTGGAGTCAATTATTTGCTGAATATTATCGTCGTCGGTGAGTTCGTTCGTCTATCGAGATTCGTCGCGCTCTTACCACAGCTTTTCCAGACGATGTAATGTGGATCTGGTATTATGATCGGCAAGGGATCATTCAATGCTCAGGTATCAACTTCATTCAAGATCTTCCACGATTTATGGTGCTGTTGTATGCTTTACAACGCTTCGACCTTCACGATTGGGGCCGGAACAAAGACTTCCTCCCAATTGAAGTTGAGGGGAAACTATGCCACGAAGTCAAAATCGATGACGAAAACCTTGGAGAGGTGGATTTGCTCCTTCATACCAGCCACGATGAAAGAGTGACGCACTACGGACTGCAAGGACGGGCGACCAATGTGGTCCCTGTCACCAGCGAAGCGCTCACGAAGAAATACGGCAAGTTCAAGGATGGAATGGTAGCCAAGATCTTTTGGGGAGAAGCGAGTCGCACCAGCGAGCCGGAGATCCTGAAAAAGGTTGAGGAGATCGCTAAGAGGCACGCAACTGTCCAAGACCATGTTCCTCAACTGCTTTGGCACCACACGTTCACAAATCCCACAGCCGCCATCCGAGAAGCGCTCGGTGTTCCGGAACCCACTACAGGCAGTCGCGTGCTCTATATTCTTGTATTCCCCAAGCTCCTCCCCATCACCCGGCTTCACGGCAAAGAGCTTTTTGACGTCTGGCGTCAGTGTATTTCATGTACGTGTTTCATTGAATTTACGTGTCTCTTTGTTGACATCACATGCAGGCCACCTTACTCTGTGGAAGGAAGGGGTCCATCATCGAGATGTCAGTCCGGGAAATCTGATGTGGTACTGGAGAGACGACAAGCGGATAGGCGTTCTAAACGACTACGATCTATCCTCGTTAGCAGATGACTTAGGTCCTCGGGGCAATGAGCGCACGGGCACGGTGCCGTTCATGGCGCTGGATCTCCTCACCAAAGAGGGTCAAAGAGGCGAAGTCAAACACCTATATCGTCATGATCTGGAATCGTTCATTTGGTGCTTCGCCTGGATCTCCTTGCGTTACGAGAATGGGGTCCTTCTATCGCGGAGATTGCGCCCCTTGGATGAATGGGCAACTTTAGGCGCTGTGGCATGTGGCGTGGAGAAGTACCATTTTCAGGGTAATGTGAAACCTCCCGCACGCTCCCACATAGACTCGTCCCTATGGGCGTTTATTGTGGGTTGTTTCGATGTGCTTGAGACACACACCTTCAATCGACGCAAACAACTAATACGATCGATAATAGACGCTGACCAGCCGACGAACTGCGAGGAATCAGAATCAGATCCTGATGGTTTTCTACAGTCATTCGAAAATACCAAGGGTTGGGCTGCGCTTAGCAAACCTTTATCAGAATCTTCACAGTGATTTTCTTTATCCATTACACTACCTACGGTTTGGGTTTGCTAGCTCTGATACTTGCCTCGATTGCCCGTGTTTGATCCGTCTCCAGTAGGTAAACCAATTGAATAGATAGTGGCTCGCCATTACGCAGAATGAAACGAACAGAAATTGTGTCATGTTTAGTAGATGAGGGATGATTTCCAACTGCAGCGCGCTACTATTACCAGGACCGAGCAAATACAGGAATACACACTTCACCCTTACAGGTCGCGATAGTCGCGAAGAACAGCAGACAGACCCACTTGCCACTAGACTCACTCAGTGCAAGTCGTGGAGTCCCACAGTTTGTGCCTTGATCAAACCACCAAGGATTTTTGTTCACGGCGTCCTCAGTCAATGATTCATGTTTCAGCAGGTCATCTCCTTCAACCCCGAGGTTTCTACCCGTGGTATGTTTGCGAAGGACCCTGTCTAACGTGGTTCCTCGATCATCCCTACACTGAAGCAGCAACGCGCTTGTGAGCCGGACATATCAGAAAAGGTTTCCGAGATCGCAAAACAAAAGATCACCAAAGGCCCTGTTCCTCGTTGGGTTCTAGAAACAAACCAAGGGTAGTCGCCTGCTCTGCATCCTTAATTACGCAAGTTTCGACCCATTATGGCGCTCCATGGCGGAGACCTTTTCAACGTATGTGCAGAGTCGATCCATTTCATGTGTGTAGCTCATCGCGTCTATGTGATTCGCTGTTAAAAGGTCACGTTGCAGATCACCATGATTTCTTGAATGCAGCGGTCAGTCGTCGAGAAGATATCATCCTTGGCAACATACTGTATTACAGATTCAAAGGGTGGGCATTTTTTGCAACTACGATCTGCCGACTGCGGCGAGCCTTCACTTAAGCTTCAAGTTGAGTGCAACGAGCGCACGGGCACGGTGCTATTCATGGCGCGCTTGAGATAAGAAAGTGGGCAAAAGGCTGAGTGTCGCATCTGCAAAAAGAAATGCTAATCTTTGAATGCTGGCGTCTCATCACCTCGAATCTCTGCCCGTACCTGTTGCAACCCTCGCAAGTTGTTTCGCTTCGCATATACTTTGCACCGACTCTTGGGCGGTGGATCACCGTGACCTGGCTTCCATGGACTGAACATTCAATGCTGTTTCGACGGCTGTAATGCCGCTAAGCCATCCCTCGACATGGTTTAGTCGTGTATTGAATGGTCAGCGCGCCTTCGTGCATCTCTGCTCACATTAAGAGACACAGACCAACTTGGCTACTTCGAGGGTACAGAATTGGAGGGCGCAAAAGCACCCGATGGATCATTCTTCCTCAAGGTCGCTAGATCAACGTCAACTTTGAACTGAGTATATGAGCGAGGATACGAGACGCTGAGACAAGAAGGTTTTCCTATGAGGGATCAGATGTACTGATTATCCGACATCACCTGGGAAACACGGGAATGTTTATCAAGAGCAACATGCAACACAGGAATCTAAAAGGGGGTAACCATTGTGTGTAGGAGGACAACAGAATACTAGGAGAGAACTGCGGCTGGGTCGTCCATCTGTCTTCTTTTTGTGGACCATGGCGCGAGCGTCGGACTCTGTTCTACTCTGAGAACACGAATCTCAGAATCAAGATTCTTAGAAGAACTTCTCAGGGACTCGGAGCGAGTATCATTAATTGGCATCAGTGAACCCGTGAGGAAAGTAGATGGCCATACATTACAATATATAGTACATAATCACAAGAACTAGCATAATTCTGCTATCGTCAATCACATTGTTATGTTTGGCCTTATAAAGGCAAGACGCTTCCATGATTTTCTTAAAAAAAATTATGATCAGCCAAAGGTCCCAGCATTGTCGAAACTAAAAATTGAAGGGAAGCGGGAACCAAAGCTGACGATCGACCTACACGAATTAAGACTGCCATATTGCTAGTAAGGTTCACGGTATCCAAGCTAAGACTTAAATCGCGCATCTCTCAAGAGCACAAGGATGTGTTACTCTTGGCAGGAGACGTACATGTGAGCCCTCCGTTAACACCTGATAGATCTCCTTGATAATGCAATCCTTCGTCACTTTCAAGACAATTTTCAATGTAGGAGTGAAAGCCCATATATTCCATTGATGAGGATATATTCATCCGAGCGCGCGACACAAAAATGATATTTTGTTTCGGCTTTGAACGCTTGTTTGTTGATATGTCTAATGTTTGTAAGCTATATGTCAATTTGGAATGCGTGTGAAGATTATATACCTTTGGGCACCAGCTGAGTTATGTTCAACAAGCGGGTGTATGACGGCCCAGAGGAGACAATAATAAATTGAATCATTTTTGTATAAAATATCTACATGGTAACCCGAAAGTCGTGTGATGTTCGAAAATCTCTGGATGATAACCAAAAGTCATCCACGTGGTCCTCAAAACTCTAATTCATTCTCAAAAGTCTTCCACGTGGTTTCTCAGAACTCTCATCTTGACACAAAAGTCGTCCACATGGTACCTTCAGTAGAGTCCTACTGTTGTCCTCATTGTCGTTGACGATGAGCCACGCAGCGCCGCGCGTCGGGTCACGCGTCACATAGGCGGGTGCGTACTTTCCTTGAATGGTAATTATTTATTTACAATTACGGTTTGACTGCTTTTAAGTTTTGACTGATGACCTTGCTGCTGCACCCTCTGCGATGACATGAGCACACTGTCTACCACCCGTACCTGCATTCTGCTCACTTGCGTCGTTCGTAACATTATCTTACTCCCTCGACATCAACCTCAATGCTACAGGCAGCCTCAAAGACACGACCGCGAACCTGAAGAACGGCCAAGGATTCGCCGTGAACATCATCAGCGAGGCATTCGTCGAGAATGCAAATGCAACTGCCGTAGACGCTCCTCCCGACTTCGACAAGTCTCAGCGGTCTGACAAAGGAGAAATGCGTATGTGTGCACTTTCATCATACAATATGTGGACTAACAAACGCGCGTTCAGGCCCATGCTAACGTGATCTTCCTTGACCAGCCTATCAATGTCAGGTATTCATACTAGTTCGAGTCCTGCAACATGGCTGTCAACCAGGCGTTCATGCTCCAGGGCGATTCAATGCGGAGCACGCCTCTGCTGTTGACGGATATGATCAATGATGGCATCAGGCTGTTGATCTATGCTGGTAATGCGGGTGAGTAGAACTTCTATCTATCGTGGTTGCGGATTTCTGATGCCGTTCTCAGATATGATGTGCAATTACATGGTGCATATGTAACCAGTTATCTTTTCAGGCACATGGTTCCTTACGACCAACCTGAAGCTGCCTTGGTGAGTGATATAATCCGAGTGTCGAGGTTCATTCGCTTATAGTATACATAGGACATGATGGTCAGGTGGATCATGGACATTGTCTAGCTGCGACTGGTCCTCTTCCTACCGACCACATACTCCCTCACCGTGTACGTGATCTCATGAACCGCTGCTTGTCACTATTTCTGACGAGTCGTCACGTCAGTTTTACGTTTCTAGCCAGATCGCACCTTTTGCCAGCCAGCTTGTAGTCTCATTCGTGATCAACCACAATCCTGCGGCGGGCTGCCTTGAAGACACGGTCACAAACGTGAAGAACGGCCAAGGATTCACCGTGAACATCAACGCTGACGATACGGCGCCACATATTACAGTGACCTATTTCCATATAATACGAGGGAACGGACGTGCATAATATCCCGTATGATACGGGCCAGCGGACCATGGGCCCATGATCAAAATATCCTCAACTATGACGGATGGGCCGGGAGGCAAATTATTCCCGATGGAGGCGGGTGGGCCCATGCAGGGGATATATAGAGTAGATGAGTGGGCCGATGTACATGAATATTAGGTAGACGGGTGGGCCGAGGTAGTTGGATATTATGCAGATGGGTATATTAAGGTAGATGTGTATGAGATAGATGGGTAGGTACTTGTTATCACATTCATGGGTGGGCCCAGACACATATTAAATTAGATGGGTGGGCCGAGGGTATTATACAATATTGTATTATACGGGTGGGCCCAGACGCATATTAATTAGACCGGTGGGCTGAGGGTGTTGTATGGGATGTTGTATTAGACGGGTGGGCCGAGGGTGGTATAAAATATAGATGGGTGGGCCCATGTGTATCATAATTGTAAACACGATGGAGCTGAGGTAGTTGTACATCAACCAAATCAGAGGAGGTAATAAAATCAAAGCTACCAAGTTCCTGGAGCAGCAGGTGATCTCCTGACATGGCCTTTGATGGTGCACAGGTTGTCTTGCAAAATTTGGAATCCGGGGTGCGAAGCTTGTGTTACCCTATGAGAAGCCAAGTTCCGATTACCAACCTTTGGGTCAACTGTACTCAGAGGAGGTAATAAATCAAAGTTCCTGAGTTCCCGGAGCAGCAGGTGATCTCCTGACATGGCCTTTGATGGTGCACAGGTTGTCTTGCAGAATTTGGAATCCAGGGTGTGAAGCTTGTGTTGCCCTATGAGATGCCAAGTTCTGACCACCCAAATTTGGGTCAACCATACCGACTTCCAAGTTCCGGGACCCGGGAGTCGACAAATGAATATCTGATAACCAGCACACTTCCAATCAGGTAATATTTCATTGAGCAATGAATCATCCAAGGGGTCTCTTATCAGACTCGGTAGTCAATATAGGCAAATGATAATGAAAACATGAAAGTTGTTATTATGCTATTTTTCAAACCCGAGACCCTGAAACCCATTGTTCAACATGTCCATTTTTCATGTACATTACACAATTCATTGAGTTCCAAGTGCCAAGTGCCGAAACCCGAACCCCGAGACCCGAAAATATGTATGCAACATTTCCATTTTTCACTTGTTGCACAAATCACTGAGTTTCAAGTGCCGAAACCCAAAACTCGAAACCCGGCATGCAACATGTCCATTGTTCAATTATATTACACAAGTCATTGAGTTCCGAGCTCCAATGGCCAAAACCCGAACCCCGAGACCCGAAAATATGTACACAACATGTCCATTTTTTACTTGTTGCACAAATCACTGAGTTTCAAGTGCCGAAACCCAAAACTCGAAACCCGGCATGCAACATGTTGATTTTTCATTTACGTCACACAAATCATTGAGTTCCGAGGTCCGAGGTCCGAGACCCGAACCCCGAACCCCGAAAATATGTGCACAACATGTCCATTTTTTACTTGTTGCACAAATCACTGAGTTTCAAGTGCCGAAACCCAAAACTCGAAACCCGGCATGCAACATGTCCATTGTTCAATTATATTACACAAGTCATTGAGTTCCGAGCTCCGAGGGCCGAAACCCGAACCCCGAACCCCGAAAATATGTACACAACATGTCCATTTTTCACTCATTGCACAAATCACCGAGTTTTGAGTGCTGAAACACGAAACTTGAAACCTGGCATGCAACATGTTGATTTTTCATTTACATTACACAAATCATCGAGTTCCAAGTGCCAAGGGCCGAGACCCGAAGCCCAAGACCCGAAAATATGTATGCAACATTTCCATTTTTCACTTGTTGCACAAATCACCGAGTTTCAAGTGCTGAAACCTGAAACTCAAAACCGGGTGTGCAACATGTCCACTGTTCAATTATATTACACAAGTCATTAAGTTCCGAGTTCCGAGGGCCGAAACCCGAACCCCGAGACCCGAAAATATGTGCACAACATGTCCATTTTTCACTCACTGTACAAATCACTGAGTTTTGAGTGCTGAAACCCGAAACTCAAAACCCGGCATGCAACATGTTGATTTTTCATTTACATTACTCAAATCATCGAGTTCCGAGTGCTGAGGGCCGAGACCCAAAGCCCGAAACCCAACATCATGTACACAACATGTCCATTTTTCACTCATTTCACAAATCACCAAGTGTCGAGTGTCAAAACCTGAAACCCGGTACTTCAAATGGACACAAATTGTATTTGTATGTATTATCCATTGGTGTAGGGCTCAAATAACCTGGGAATTGTATTTGTCAGTACTCGGTACTTGGGACTTGGGACTTGGGACTTGGTACTTGGTACTTGGTACTTGGCACTCAGTGATCGGTGGTCAGTGGTTGGTACTTGGGACTCGGTACTCGGTACTCGGTTCTCGGGACTCGGTACTCGGGACTTGGGACTCGAGACTTGAGACTTGGGACTTGGGACTCAGGATTCGGGACTCGGGACTCGGGATTCAGGACTCGAGACTCGGGATTCGGGACTTGAGACTTGGGACTCGGGACTCAGGACTTGAGACTCGGGACTCGGGACTCGGGACTCGGGACTCGGGACTCGGGACTCGAGACTCAGGACTCGGTACTTGGTACTCGGTGATTGGTGGTCAGTGGTTGGTACTCAAGACTCGGTAGTTTCTCCCTGATACCCACCAAAAAACCCACACCCACAAGGTGGGTGTGGGTATATCATGGAGTATGGGTGGGGGTAGTGCTACTCATACCCCGGGGTTCACCCACACTATTCCCTATCGGTACTCGGTACTCGGCACTCGGTGATCGGTGGTCAGTGGTTGGTACTCGAGACTCGGTAGTCAATATAGGCAAATGATAATGAAAAATGACAGTTGTAGTCCATGTCAAGGTGAGTGATTTGGTAGTCTTTCCTTGTCATTCAGCAAAACATCAGCAATAATGAAAAAATGAAAGTTGTTATTATGCTTAACTCCTTACCAAAGGTTGTAGTCCAAGTCCAGGTGAGTGTAGTGGTAGTCTTTTCTTGTCAATTGGTTATCTTGTTACTCATTACGCAGTACTTGGTACATGGTAATTGGTACTCAGTATTTGGTTTTGATACTCGGTATCTGGGAATCAGTAGTCAGCTTAATCAAGGTTGTAGTCCGAGTCTAGGTGAGTTTATTTGTAGTCTTTTCTCGTCCATTGGTTACCATGTGACCAAGATATAAGCTAAAGAAATCCAAAACATCAATAATGACAAATGAAATACATGTGTGCAGTAAGTGAGTCTAAAGATAAAGAATGAATATTAATAGCGAGACTTGCACATTATGTCGAGATATCCAACATGACAAGCCTGTGATGTGATCAGAGACCTGGAATAACACCCATATACATCCATTATAATAGCTTAAAAGCTTAGAAATATTCATGAAGGATTGATGTAATGATAGGCAAAATGATGTGTGGAGAGTGACAGTAGACATCTTTTATATAAAGTCACATTTATATATGATTCAGGCCAAAAATATCATTACAAATATGTAGGATAGATTGTAAACTACCCAAGGAACCCATACTGCCTACTGCCCTGAGGGTAGGGGGTGGGTAGAATGGATATAGTGAAAATATGAGTTGACCCAGCATTAAAGTCCTACCACTGCTCAACTAACCATTTTCGATGCTTTGGGTCTTTGAAGTTTCCCACACTCAATTTCTTACCCATTTCACTTCCTCAGTGCTCAATTCTTGGTTGATTTGTCTGTAAATTTATGTCTATGATACTTAAGATATTTGAAATGTACCCCAGGTTTCTGATTATGAAGATTCAATGTTTTGAAGGCATGGGCCCCTTATCAGGCAAAATGGCAAGTATGCACACTAGCTCACAAACTCCAGCCTATTGTGAGCTGATCTTGGTCATAAGAAGCAAGAATATAAGCTATGCTCATTATATATTAAAAGGTTGGATCATGGATGCAAGGGCAAGATACTGAAAATTGTGAAAAAATGTCACAAGTGCAATTGTCTATGCTTTGTTCCTGGAGAAGGATCCTGTGTGTCCTGGGCTGGTTATATGATATATCTACTCCGAATATGCTCAGGAATAGACTCCCTACAGTCCTTGAGGTCCAGCTTTACAGGGAAAAACCCCCAGGGGTGAACCACCAGAAGAGGGGGAGGTACACTATACAATAAAGGATTACCCTATGGTCCTGAGCTCCTGATACATTGTTTCTATTGTTGAATAGATGATTGAGATATAATTCCAAAGTCTGTTCACCTAGAAATGAACACATAGGAACATATTTTGTATTTTTATGTATATATGCAATATCCATTTAAGCACCAAGTCTCAACTACCGATTACCAAGTCCCGACACTTGATAGTTGATAGTCAGTATTTGAGCTCCGAGTGCCAATATTGCCTACCAATATCTCAGTCAAATGATAACCAAACCAAGACCCAAGTTCCAAACCTGACTACCGAATACCAAATATCAGTACTCGGGACTCGGGACTATTGGCTGGAGTACCCAACTATTGATTCCCAGGTACCGAGAATTAGAACCAAGTACCAAGTACCTGACTACTGATTCTCGGGTACCAAGTATCAGAACCAAGTACCAAGTACCCGACTACTGATTTGAAGTACCGGGTTTCGGGTTTCGGCACTCGACACTTGGTGATTTGTGCAATGAGTAGATGGGCATGTGGCATACATGTTTTTGGGCTTCGGGTTTTAGGATTCTGCCCTTGGCACTCAATGATATGTGTAATGTAAATGAATAATGAACATGTTGCACACTGGGTTTCGAGTTTCGGGTTTCAGCACTTGAAACTCGGTGATTTGTGCAACAAGTGAAAAATGGAAATGTTGCATACATATTTTCAGGTCTCGGGGTTCGGGTTTTGGCCCTCGGCACTCGGAACTCAATGAATTGTGTAATGTACATGAAAAATGGACATGTTGCACACTGGGTTTCAAGTTTCACGCTTTGGCAC